GTTGAGAAAGCTTATGATAACCCGCAAATTTTTAATCAACACAAATGACAATAAAAAAACAAAGCAAAAAACCATACATCATATTGAGAAAAATAACCGAATAAAAAAGCTCACCTTCTTCTCAAGTGCAGCATTCTCAGCTTTCAACTTATCGGAACGCATTGTAGTTTCGTGATCACGTATGGAAAACTCGTCTCTGAGTTCTTTTTCCACTTCTGAGATAGCTTGCTCAACTTCTCTAGCTTTGTCTTCTTCAAGTTTAGCTATAGTGTCGCGAAGTTGACGAATTGTGACATCTAAAACAATCTAAATTTTTTTATGATTCTACTACTGTGAACCTCAAGAAAAAAAACCTCAAAAAACCCTACAACTTCAACTTACCCTGATTTTTCAAATCGGCTAACTCTGTTTGAACAAGAGCAATCTGCGCTCGGAAATGATTCGCTTCTTCAACAGCTATATTGGTCTTCTCTGCTTGCGCTTTCCAAACGATCGCCTGCTCTAGTATTGGCGTTGGATCTGCAAGCGCACAACCTCATAAATAGGAACAATTAATATTATCTGAAATTAACGCGGAAGTGCAACTACATGATCAAAACGCTAATAATCGTCTAGACAATTGATAAAAGTTAATTCAGAACATATATTTGCAGGGTGTCCTTACACAATCTAGCACATGTTTCCTGATCAGCTCCACTTGTTTGTCAAACCCTAATGTCAGCCTAATGACCTAATGTCACAATAAGGCAAATTATTTTGCAGAAGCAACAAAGTGCAAAAGAAAGGGAACTCCATCAGTCTAATCTCAGCAATCTCACCTTGCTTTCTTAGGTAAAATCCAATAAAAGTAGTATAGATTTGACAATAATAATTTAGTAAGTCCAGCTTTTTGAAAACCAATTTTCGACCTTATTCGTCTCGTCAAAATCTATAAATTCGTAGGGTTCTCGAAGATTTACTTCAGCACCACTAGGCTCAAAAATACCGAATACCCTTGGACTTCAAGAAATTATTTTGACAGAGTTTCGCCCAATAGGAAAAACCAGCGGAATATGTTCACAGACTTCTGCAAAGAATGTTCCAGCAGATCCATGAAAGGTCAACAGTCAGAAGCAAACACTGACACATCCGATCTTATCGACAGATGTTACTATGTAAACGAAGATGATTGTATGATGATCTATGCGTCACCTGTCAACTAGATTGCGATTATTGCGAGTTCTCTAACACCCTATCCAGCAGTACTTCCCAATCTAAGTCTTCTGGTGCAAAAGCCTTAGCATTTTATATTTTTTGT